AACCCTAACACCCCCCTGTGTTTACTTTCCACTCAAATGCTTTAACAAGACTTTGGCTCTCAAGGAAAATTTTCTCTCTTAGGCCTATTATGCATAGAGCTGTGTCATACTGCTTTTATGCGACTCTTAAAACACAGTCTTACACGAGATTGAGATATCCGACCTGTAAAAGCGCGGGGACAGTGTGGGAGAACCAGATCTCGTGGTCATATTCCACTTCGCGTGCCTCAGAGAGAGCGAGCTGCTCGGCATTCCACGCACCTGCGTGGGCTTCCAACGTGACTTAACATTTTCTAATGGCAACATCTTCAACATTTAGTTTTGTGCCATAACATGGCAGTGTTATGTAAGAGAGGCCGTGCTCACGTGGTCACCACAGGAATTTAGTATTGATTATGTAACCCCAGCAGTACTCCTAACACCAGTGTCCTCGGGGCCAGATGCAGCCATTAAGCAGAGCTTATTTTCAGGAGGGAATTAAATGCTGTGCATTTGATTAATGAAAGCCTACATGTGGATCTTATTATTCAGCAAGAAATGCACCTAACCCCCTTTTTGGAAGGTATGGATACTTAAGAAGATTTAATTGGATATTTAATATTTTAACAATCTGCCCATTATTAGCATTTTTTGCAGAAAATTAAACACTATTTTGATGTCTTTAAATGAAGAATAATATAATCTATACTGGTTTTTAATTGTTTTAGAACATAAAGCAATAGTAAAATTGTAGTTTGTTTTATAGTTAATTTGCTTGAATTCATAAAAACAATTTGAGTGAAAAATATTTTGAAGATCTAAAAATATAAGGGGTAGTCAAAATTTTTTATTATTATTTTTTATCACCTTCGGTCTCTTTTCCAGGTTGTCTTATTCAGTGGATGTAGTTATAATATTTTTCTTACTTAAATTATAGCAGCCCCCCCCCTTTAGACTTGACTACAACAATACTGCAAGAATGTTTACCCAAGACTTAACATCAACACGAACAGGAATGGTGACCAGTTGGCAGGCAGGTGACAGGTGGCAGCAGTCACTGGGTACCTACTGTGTACTGGCCTTTGTGAAAGGTTACGAGTGGACAGACAAGCATGGCTCCTGAGATCAAGCTATTTAAAATGTAATCAGTGCAAATGATATGCACAGAAAATGTCTCAGGAAGCAGACTGCTCCTTGTCCACACGGGCAGATACAACACGCCCGTTCCAGGGGTCTCGACAGCAGAGCTGTGATTGCTGGAGTTGAGAGAACTTGCAGGAGGCTCCCTGGAAAGACAAACATGGAGCTGGTATGGAGGGTCCGGTGGGTGAGGGGAGAGAGAATAAATGCCTGGCCACTGAACCCCCTTTACAACATGCTAGATGATAAACAGCGATCTTATTAGAATGCAGAGTGTTTGTGCGATATGACGTATCACACCTGCGTGGCACGTATGTTGATACTTTACTAGCGATTTAATAAAAAAAAGTCTCCCGAGGGAACCCCACCTGTTCCCATGGGGCTTGAGGGCAACAGCACTTGCTCATGAGTTATTTTGTTCGGACAACTATATTTTAAATATGTCACAAATATTAAAATCAATGTGAAGGAAATGTGGCTTTTGTGTAGGCTTCGTCTGGGTAAGTAGACAAGTTTAACCTTTAGTCAATGTTTGTTTTCCATTTTATAAGGTTTACAAGCTTTTTAACAGGTTATTCAGGAATCAGCCAGCCACGTGACCTCACAGCTGTAAGCACTAATATTCAAATGTGCAAAGTAAAATCAGTTAAGACACAAACCTGCTTGTTGACCAGAAAGTTAATAAAATACTAACTGCATTTATTGTAAACCTCCCTCTTAGACTATTAAAAGAGGTTCATGGTTAAATTACAAAGAAATTTCATAAGGTGATGAGCAAAAGCATCATTTTCAAATGTCTTGGGATCTACCTTGACCCTTGTTTTAAAACATTTTTAAGAACATATACTTCAAATTATATAATCACCAGGTAGATATTGTTTTCTCTATAAATGAATTATTATGCATAAAAGACTAAAATAAATATAGAATTAACTTGATTTAAAACCAACAATATATGGAAGAATGTTCAGAGAATTTAAAGATACTTATGGTTGCATAGACAGACGAACTGGACGGTTTCATTGCCCATATAAATTCCTCCATCATTTTCCTTGGTAAAAAGGGCAGAGACAGATGCTTTATATTCTTTGAAAATGTTGAACTAATAGTAATAATCATCATGATCTTTGTAGTTTTGCTGGTGTTAACTGCCCTCTTAATAGTCTTTGAGTTTTAATTCTTTGCAGAATGAACTGGCGTCTTCTCAACGGAGCGTGAGCAAGGTGGTTTATTTCCCAGAGAGGGGCCTGAGTGGTTTGAATCCTGAGCCCAGGGACTTACAACTCAGAATTTCAACTGTGCTGAAACTGCGCTGCAATCTAATAACATCTGATATACGACTAAATTTCAGGCTTTGAGGGACTATCAGAATGCTGAGTTCAGTTAATTACGGGCCAATGCACTCATCATAAAAGGCTTGGAGTAACAAATGTTTAGTGAGAGTCTTACTCCTTTTCTGACCTATCACTAGAGAACATCAAAAAGAAGGATGAGAACCCAGGAGAAACACTGTATATAGGCTTTGGGTTGCAACTCAGGGGTGAGTGGCGAGTGTCTGGGTGTTTGTAATGAAAATCTTTGAACAGCATTTCCGAAGAGAGAAACGCGGCGGAGCGCCTTCTGCACTTCTACGGACAGAGATGAACTCCGATTATGCAGGGAGCGCCCTTAACAGTAACCCGCCAACACCCCTCCAACGTGTGCCTTTTCCGTTTTCATGCTTTTTCTTTTTAATTTGCCCAGGAAATGTGCGACTTCCCTCAAGCACTTGGAAAAAAGAAGGACGAAAAATGGAAAGAGGTTTGATTCCAGAAAAGGTTCAGTGAACATTATTAAGTTTGCATCCTGACTTAACAGACTCAGAGAACAAATAGTTGACGTTTTTCTCCCCGCAGAGGTATGGGGGCTTATATTCAGGTTAAATATACATTTATTTGTAGCTGGGAAGTCGCTTTAATGACCCCAAAAAGGCAGCCAAGGAAACTTGAACGACAAGAAGAAACATGTCGCGTGGACAGGAAGAACAGTGAACACGCAGAGAAGCACGTCCTTTCCAACCCTGCCAGCAAGCTGCCCAGGCGCTCCGTGCTGTGGAACCGCAACTTCCAGGGCAGTTACAACTGTCGGGTGTGCGCTGCCCAGAGGCGACATCGGGGAGGCTGCCACGGATCAGACAACTTAGGTCGGTCACCCCCAATACACATCAAAAGGACAAAAATCCCCCCTGAGTAAGGTATGAGCACCGGAATCATGTTCTCGGTCCGCAGATGTAGGGATTCCGACCCTTGAGTGCCCGGCTGGCTGGCGCCCCTCACACCGGACTCCCGTCCACCCGTCAGCCGCGGAAAAGCCCGGGTCTGCCCTGCGGAGGAGAGTCTCACCGTCTTCCGGGATCCCCACCTGCGGAGTTGGAATCGAATGCCTACATGCCTTTTCCCACTGTGGGGTGTTTGGATGCGAGTGGGCAAAAGCAGAGACCAGGGAACAATCTGGAGCAAACTTCTCAATAAAAACCTGAGAACTAGTCTGAGAGAAGAAAACGTGGAGAGTGAAACCCGACCCCAGGACTGGCGCCGTCCCGGGCCCGAGCCCTTCGTCAGCGCAGCAGTGGCACCGTCGCGTGCGCCTGGAGCTTTGGCGACAGCCTCGCCCTTCGCCCAAGCTGGGCTTTGGTTTTCGAGCTCCACTCCTGGGAAGGAGACCCAGTTCAGGGAATCCGGGTCGCCCGTCCCACCGTGGGAGAGCAGGCCTGCCGCTCTCAGCCGAACCTCACGAGTGGTAGTGGCCCGTCGCGCGCTCGCGGCCGGCACACGGACATCTGCGCGTACGTGCGCTCTGCTCTCCCAACTTCTGAGCTCTGGAGGCTCCCGGTTCTTAGCGCCCTGTGGGCGGCACATTTCCCTCCAGCAACAACGGACTGATTCAAGGCTGGGGCAAAGGGGGCGAGGTTGCCTGAGAAATCCGCAGGTGGCGGGGTGGTCCTCAGGGCGTTGGGGCCATGATCTCGGTTTTTCTCTGTTGAGTCCTAGTTTGCCCCTTCCACTCTCTGACCTCACCGGGCACACGAAGCTCTTTATAAGGTGGTGTCCGAAAGCGAGTGTTGGCCTGGACTGGATGTCTAAACCTTACTTTATTGGAAGCACTGCGCATTGACTTAAACCCCAACCAAACGTCCGAGATTGAACTCCCCTTGGGGACCTCGGAGCACAGCTCGGTGGGAGCCGCTGGTCCAGCACCAGGAGGGCTCCCGGGCTCGGACAGGGACGAACACAGGTGGCTCCCGCAGCAGCGCGCAGCTGGAGCAGCTGCAGGGCTGCGGGTTTCGAACCCAGAACGACACCGCCCCGCGCAGTCCCTGGGGTCCCCCTGCCCCTGCGCCCCGGCCCAGGTGCATCCTGTCTTTAGAGGGCTGCGGGGTGTGGGAGCCTGCGCCGGGGGCCGAATTGCGGCGCGGCACGCTACGTGGGCGAGGAGCGCGGCGGCGTGGGGGAGCGCTCGCTCCGCCAGTGGGCGTCTTCTGCCGCCGCCGCCGCCTCTACGGGCAGCGGCATTGCGGCGCTTTCCCCGCTCCTTCGGAGCAGTGGCCGAGGCTCAGCTCCCGGAGCGCGCACGGACCGCGCCACGCTTGCAGGCGGCGACTCTGCGGCCCGCGCCCGGCCCGGAGCACGCGGATTGTGTGCGCCAGCCAGCAGCCAGGCGCCGCGCCCGGGACTGCCGCGGCCCGGTCCTCTCTCACCCCAAGTGGAGCACAATGTGAAGACTGGGCCGCGAGGGGCGCAGAGGACGGGAGAGAAGCTACGGACCAACGCTCGGCCGACCGGCCAAGGAGGGCAGGTCCTGCGGGGGCGGAGCCCGCCGAGGCCGGACCGAGGAGGAGGGCTATGGCCAGCCCCGAAGAGCCGCTCGCTCCCCGCCCCCAGGCCCCCCTGCCAGCGGCCGGGGACAATCCCGGCTCCGGCCCCGGCAAACTCCGCCCGGAGCCCCGGCGCAGCCCGGCCGGCGGGGGGAGCGCGGCGGGCCCGGGGCCGGCCCCCGAGCGGCCTGGCCGTGGCCGGACCGAGCGCGCCGCGCCCCCGCGCCCACCCCCGAGCGCAGACCGCGCCAGCCCCGCGGGGGGCCTGGGCGCCCAGACTGCGCGCGGCGGAGGCTGGGTCCCGGCCCGCGCTCCCTTCGCGCTCGCCTTCTCCTCTGTCCCCTCCCCCTTTCCATCTTCCTTTTACTTCTGGCCGCCGCCCCCGCTGCCCCCTCCTTCTCTCGTCCCCTCCTCATCTGCCTTTCACCTCCCCGTGCGGCTCCCAGGAAGGGAGGGCGCAGCGGCCGCGGCGGCTGGAGGAGGCGGCGGCGATGTTGGCGGTGGCGGCGGAGGAGGACAAGAGGCAGCTCCCTTGAGCGTCCCCCCAAGCAGTAGTCCCCGCGGCGGCGGTGGCAGCGGCGGCGGGCGGTGGCGGCTCTTCCTCTCCCCTGTGCTGCTGGGTTTGCTGTTCCCAGCCCGCGCCGGGCCCCGGCTCCCGCCGCCGCCCCGGCTCCCGCTCGGCCCGGCCGCCCGCCGCGCGGGCTCCCCCGGCTTCCCGGGCGCCGGCGGGGACTGCCCCGGCCCCGGCCCCGGCCCCAGAGCAGGCGGCGGCCGCCAGACCCCGCGGCGGCCCCGAGGCGCCGGCTTCGCCCTCGCCGCCGCGGCCCCGCTGCTCTTCGGCTCCGACATGGAAGATGGACCTTCTAATAATGCGAGCTGCTTCCGAAGGTTGACGGAGTGTTTCCTGAGCCCCAGTAAGTGCCGGCTCCACATTCCCCGGGTGGGGGCGGGCGGGGCGCGAGAGCCGGAGCGTGTGGTGCCCAGCGGGCTTCTCTGGAGGAGCGCAGGCTGGGGGCACAGCGGGGTGCGCGGGCAGCCCGGGACACCGGGGCTTCCCAGGCTCCGTGCGTGCGGGAGACGGGTGACCGGAGGGTTGCTGGCATTTAGGACCCGACCTGCTGGCCGCCGCGGGCTCCCCTGTGCTGTTTCTGGCCACCGTTCCCAGACACGTCTTTATACTCCAACTCGGATCCCATCCGCCAAGCGCCTCTCTCTTTAGCCGGAGGCCACTTGGCTGGAGGAGTGAAATCGTATCTTTCCACTGGGGTCCTGTCCCCCGAGACCCCGGGCTGGGCGAGGGCTGGCCAAGGCCGCAAACTTCGCGCTCCCAAAGGTGAAGGCACTAGTGGTCCCCGGGGTGGGCGCCCCCCCCCCCCAGGACCCTGTCCCAGAGCGAGGACTAGCCTGGTGGAAGCGGCTGCACCTCCACAAAGAGGACGCACCCCCACCCAGACTCCACTTTCTAGATCCTGGGGGAGAGCCGGTGCTCGGTTGACACAGGCAAGGACAATGAGCGTTAGGGTGGAGGAGAGAGGCACTGCCGGTTCGGAGCCCCGTGCTGTGCCCCCGGGCGGGCCAGGGCCACACTGCCTCCCCGGCCCGGCCCGGTAGGAGACTGAGAGCTCCCTGGAGCAGGGGTGGCAGAAGGCGTGTCTCGGGGGAGGGGGCAAGAGCAGAATAATCAAGGCAGAGGTTCGCTAGAAAGCAGGAGGCGGGAGATGTCAAGGGAAGAGGCGCCCGGTGCGCAGAGGAGAGGACTGCCTTTGTCGTGGATGGAGGGCGAGCGAGGTGAGGACGGTGGATGGGGCGCCGGGACCGCGGGACACCGGCCACTCGGGCGCCAGCCCACTCGGGCGCGGCTCCTCGCGGCCCTAAGCGCAGAGCTCGGCGCCACCGTCCACCGCGTGCGCACCGAGCCTTTGTCTGCGCCTCGCAGGGGAACCGCGTTTCCGCGGCGCCTTCTCCAGCAGACTCTTCCAGGGTTGGGTTGCTGTTTCGGCTTCCTGTTCCCGGTTCAGGCTTCCCGGCACCCTGGGTTCAGCCCCTCCTAGAGGCTGGAACTTGTCCGGGTGCCTTTGGGGTGCAGCCTGAGGGCTTGGCGTGCAAAAGGTCCGGTGGGGCCGGGCGGAACCCCTCCCTCCCCCCTCTGCGAGCCTGCCTCCCAGGCTAAGGTGGTGGATGCAGGGCGACAGCGTGGCCGGGTGGCATCTTGCACAGTCCTGCGCTGGCTCCTACATGCTGCTTGAACTGATCTGCAGGGTGTGGACCTTGGTCTAGCAGCTAACCCCCATGCTGTCCTCTGGTTTGACGGGCACAGCAGCCCTGGTATCTGCAGACCCCAGCCCCATCTGCAGGGGTTGGTGCTTTCAGAGATGCTGCAGTCCAGGAGGGATGTGGTCTGAGCACGGGGGCTGGCTCACATGTGTTAGGCAGGGACATTTGCACTTACTGAGACGGAGCCCAGGTGGTGGTGGTGGTGGGGGGTGTAGCATGAAGCTCTCAGCCAGACCTGCCCTGCACTGGGTAAGCTGTAGGCCTGGTCTTCCTCCTACACTCGTCAATCCCTTCTTTAAAAAACAAACATCTACTTTTCTCAGCTGTCATCGGTGGGGGGTGGTTGAAGGCTGCCACTTCTTGCCTATGACAGCATTGTTTTTGGGAGAGGCTGGTGCTGAGGAGACAGGGGTGTTGGCATCCGGATGGAACCTGTCTCTGAAAATGAGGAGGTTTCCCTTGGCATGTTGTTGTTCCTGCTGCTTGTGTGTGTGTTTGGGGCTGTGCACGTGTGAGGGATGTTAGGGAACGGAGTCTAGGTGAGCAGATCTGCTCAGATGAAGTTGTCCCGGGGGAATCCCAGCAGGCTGTCCCTTTGCAAGGACAGAGGACCTGGAGGAGACAGGGACTGTCCAAAGGGTCCCGTCTGCAAAGTTCCCATAGGGAGAAGCCCAAGGATGATACATTCAGGAGGCTTTGTTTTGGTTGGTCACATGTCCTCACTGGTCAGCAGAGGGTAGCTTGGTGTTTGAATAGGAACGGAGACCATAGAAATCTTCTTTGGAACATTGTTAAGCTAGTGAGTACACAGGTACTTTTAAGGAAAACCTGCTATTAGACCCATCTCGGGGAAAGGTGAGCAGTGGCCACCTGGATGCTCAAGGCAGGGCAGCCAGTGTCCACGAGGTGCTTCTCTCCACTTTGGGGGTCTTCGTTCCTGTCCATTGCTGCACAACAAGCCCTGTTTGTCTGAATTGCTGAAGTGTCTGAAGCTTGACAGACTTTTTGGCTATTTGGCAGTAAAAATGAGACTTTCTGAAGAAACATCTAGAGACGATGAGAATGTAAAAATGCCCAAATGCATACAGATGTGTCTTAATTGCTGTGTATTTCTTCCCCTTTTCTCTCTGTGTGCTGCTTTGGCCTGCTGAGCCCATTCTCGTGTAAAGGCTGCTCTGGTCAATCACTGTGTATAGGAGTATCTGTCTGACTTGAGTCCGAGCCAGAGAGCAGCTCATGTGTTGAAGCTATAATGCCCCAGCTACACTCCTGTCCGCTCGGCCCTGCGCGTGGTTCGCACGGATTCACTGGCTCACTCAATCGTGCACGGAACAAACTCATGAAAAGCGCCTGCCGCCTTCCAGTGCTGTCCGAGCCAGGCCTCTCTGCCCCAGAGGAGCTGACCGCCCAGCAGGACACGGCCTCCTAGAAGCGGGCTCAGCCCTGATGCCCAGCACACCCAGGGTAGGCGGTCACTCTCCATCCCGATCAGGCCATCCTTGACTTCTCTCATTCCGCCATCTGCCTTTCCTTGCTGACCTTTGAACTCTTCAGAAAGTTGCTGATTGGAACAGAGGATCTCTGCTCAGGGACAGCACCCGTTCCCCTGGAGGGACGGAGAGTTGCAGGTGTGTGTGTGTGTGTGTGTGTGTACAAGGGATAGGCCAGCAGGAGCCACATCTAGTCTTCTGGAAAATCGGTCTGCCTGTCCCCACTGGGTGCTGGGACGTGCAGGGGATGAACCCATGCAAAAAGGACCTTTGGCATTGAGTTGAGAATACTGCCTTTAGGACATTAAACATTCCTCTCCCTCCTGCCAGTGTCCCATGTCTCTCCCTGTGGTGTGTGTGCAGCACCAGCTGGTGCTTTGAATGAGGCAAAGCTGGAGAGAAAGGAGGGCAGGGGGGTCAGGGAGGGGCAGAGAGGGCGGAAGTGCAATGGGGCAGATCTGGGAGGGCAGACTGTCCAGACTGCAGTTTACTGTACATTTCTCAGATCTTCAAAACAGAGCATGGGTCTGTTTCCAAGAACGGTGGATTTGAAATATGCCCAGCACGCATTACTCTTGCTCTGCCTCTTGCGACTTAAGGTTGTGTGTGGTCAACACAGGAGCAAACTCAGATAAACATAATTCCTTTTAAGAGCCAGGGTGTTTAATGGGTAGATGCCACACTAGACTTCACATCCGACTTACTTCTATGGGCCTGGGGAGGGAGAGATTGCAAGGGTGGCTGGGCTTCGAGGGCAGCAGCATGGCCAAGAAACGGGTGTAAGTCAGCTCACAGCCAACCAGCAGGTACTTAATGGCTGAGGACCTCCTCAGTGCAAAGTGTTCGAGGGCGAGGGAAGTAGTGAGCGCTGTCTCCTCAGAGGACCTGGCACATGGACCTGGACACCTGCCAAGCCAAGCAGTGAGCCAGGCCAGGTGCAGGTCTGAGTCGATGAGGTGTCAGTGACTAGAGTCATCGGAAGGGACTGCCATCCAAGGGACAGGCTCTTCGAGCTGGGTGCAGCTATTCCGGTTCCTTCATCCGCGTTTCACTTTCAATTTATAGCAACCTGCGCAGACAGAGGGAGACCGTGAACGTTCGAACGAGACACAGTGGAAACGGTACAGGACGGTGTCCCTGGCCGTCTCAACCTGACAGTCACCTTAGACCATTTCACTCCTAAAGCTTTTTCTGCCCCACCCAGGAAAAAGGTGCAGCGCTGTGAAGTCATAGTCCCGGGGGCTCGGTGCGCAGCGCGGCCCTGGTGTTCGCAACACTGGACGGCGTGCTGCCGAGTTGCCGAGAAGGGTTTGGGGGTCCTCATCCCCACCAAAGAGTCGCACGCCCTAGGCACTTAAGCAAATAGAAGGTTGGGTTTGCTCTACAGCAGGTGGGACATGGTGTGGCAAACCTTTCCCCAATTAATACCTTGTGAATTGTTTGTTTAAAAACAGTCATCAAGTGTAACGAGGAAAGAAAAACTAATTTTCACGAAGGACTGCTTTTCCCTTAAGAGGAAGACTCTCCTAGCGGTAACGTTCATTTCCTTTCAGAATGTAAGCCAGCTCCGGGAGCTGACCTGGAGGGGGCGGAGGGTGGGCGCAGTGGCCACGGGGGGCTGGGGACGCCCACAGAGACAGGTGCCCGCTCTCTGTCCGATGGCAGCACTGGCCGCTCGCTGCCGCCGTCCCTGTGCAGAAGGCGAGGTGCGGGCCCCAGGCGGGGCTTGTCTCTTGGGGGGCCCTGACCTGCAGCTGTGGCTGACACACAGATGGAAGGTGCTCAGGTATTTATTTGTGTCGGAAACTCACCGATGGAAGAAACGATCAGCGACGTGGCGCCTGTCTCCACGGGACTTGGAAACGGAAGGCCTGGAAAGCTGTCTCTGCCGCGGTCTCCGTGCGGGGTTCAGGGCGCATGCCTGTGCCACAGCCAGGCCAGGGAGCCCGTGGCTGTGGGGGACACCGCCGGAGCACACCGAGAACCCCGGCTCCCACTGGGCCTGCCAAGGGTTCCCAGGGGAGCTGCTCTGAGTCCGACGGGCAGGGTTGTTCCAGCTGGGGGGCCTCGGAGGGGAGGCCAGCGAGGGCAGGTCTAGAAGCTTCCATCAGAAAACAGCCTGGGGAGGCTGGGGAGGGTGGTGGTGGGAC